TGCTGACAGAATTCATTGTTAGGCATTAATTATGCCTTAGTTACAAATATTAACCAGGGCCTCTGATAACAGCAGAAGAGAGAAAAGCAAAAGACTCAGTTAAGTCATCACTGCATCTGTTCACTTCACCTGGGAAGCACAGAGGTCATGATCCTGCAGACACGTTGAGCATTATGTATGTCAATAGTCCCGCTGAAGATGAATCATCATCACCAAGGCTAATGAATGTCGTCTCCTTGCAGATTGAGCAGCACCTGAATCAATCTCTAGCTAGGTTTCTTCAGACACTCTGGTAGATGCTCAGTCTATCTCCGTCATTGGCAATCTTATCGCACCACTAAAGCTTTTGGTGGCCATGTGATTGGCTGGCTGTGTAGCGTCATTTCTTGGCAATCATGCTTCATGATTCACTGGTCTTCCATCCTAACACTGTGTCCATACCAAGAAAGCTGCCAAAACTAAACCAGTGCTGACGGAGGCAGGGGCTTGGTTCAGCTACTAATGTTCTCACTGATGATCTTGTCTAGCCACTTAATATGCAGCGGCTGATAAAGATGATGAAAACTGAAAATGTCAATCCGCTGCTCATCAGCCTTCCTCAGTGCCCGCTCTGTGAAATGTGGGTACTGAGGCAGAAGATGAATAGTGACACACAGACCCTAAAATAGATCGATCGATGTGACGCCCTATAAGATGTAATGCTTTCTAGAGCCGGTTGAAAAATGGAAGAAAAAAAAATCAAAGATTTCACTAATATCCTCCCCTTTAAAAAACATCTACAAATTTGAAATTTCAATGCAAATTTTCAAAGAAAAATTCCAAATTTAGAAAATTTCAGCCAGCTATAATTTAAAGATTTTATATATATACACACACACATTCCCACAGAACCTAGGAAATTTCTAAAAATAAGACCCGTATTTTTTTATTAAAAAACCCATGATCCACGTCTAGTTGTGTGTTTTTTCCACACCTTTTACAAGGTTTGTAAAAGCACCTGTAACGGGTTGCAGACTCACCACCGCGGCACCTCCTGCTGGTTGCTCTGGGAATTAGCTCTGTCTTAGCCATGGAGGAGCGTGGCCCGATATAGACTGTGGCTTGCCCTGAGGCCAGGGGCTAGACTTTGTGGCTGCAGTCGGCCATGAAGGCAGGTGCAGACCGAGGACTGCGGATACCCCCGGAAGGGGAGAGAACTGAGTGGGGTACAGCCAGAGGGCTGTGTCCAGAAGAGGACGCTGCAAGCCAGGGAGCAACGTGGGTCCCAGACAGCACAGCAGAGCAGACAACGGGCGGGACACCACCCACAAAGGGTGCTCCATGGCTAGGACAGAGCTAATTCCTGGAGCAACCAGCAGGAGGCGCCATGGTGGTGAGTCGGCAACCCGTTACAGCATCTATCCCACTTTTCCACTGGAATTGCTGGCTCAAGGCCTTTACTCCAGCACTTGCTATGCACATTTGCTCCAAAGACGAGAGTTGGCTTCATAACGTAGCATGTTGATCAAACTGATGGTGTGTACAGAGGTGATGAATCACAAATGGAAATGGATGGAGACAGATCACACGAACGGAGCTGGTGTTTAAGAAACTGTAATGGAGACTGTACATTTTGTTTAAAAAACTGAGTGGATACATCTCCCGCTGGATAGTGTTTTTAGTATATATTTTAACGGTGAACTGGACAAGCCCTAAATGTGTCCTCGCTCATTTCATACCACTTTACTCAGCTAGGAAAGTGTAAACCATTTCCAAAAAGAACAGCTCCCTGATGCAAGCTTAGAGTTTAAAACACTGTGTGGGAGACTTTACAAGAACAAGTGCTGGTCTCAAGTCCTGTGGTGTGCAAATGAATGGGAAAACCCCAGTCCAGTAGAGCCTATTAATAATAAATTCACCTTAATCTAGAGCAGCGTTTCTTACCCAGTGGGTTCCAACCCCTGGGGTAGTCATGAAGGGCAACCAGGGGAGTGGGGTTGTAAGGGAATTAATGTTTTCTTACCATTTTAAAGCAAAGAGAATTAATTTCCAGAAAAAAACTTCAGGGTGGCCAGAACTGTCAGTTTGTGATGCTAAAATGTAGTGGAGCAGTTGTATTATATAGGCTTAGCATTGTACACTTGATTCATTTTTTACTCTTTTGTAGTAAACGTAAGGGAGCTGTGAACATTTTTGATGTCATATTAAGGGTTGCCAACCTGAAACACTGATTTACAGCAGATGGTAACAAAACAACCTGACTGAAGTTGCACATAACAGGATAGCAGCCTCAAGCAAAGGGTAATCCAGTGGCGATGTGGAGATGTTATTGCACTCCTAAGGCACATGTTGGTCCCTTGGTATCGAAAGAGATGTTGCCCTTGGCTCCAGAGAGCTACGGAAAATACCATCCTGTGCTACTGCTGCTGCTTCCATATCTTCTGGCCGAGGGCTCGCCCCACTCCAGTGCACACCTGCATGTCATGTCATGCTCCACTGTTCATCTTCTTTGTTACTGGGAGCACACAGAGTGCTGCAATGTACAGCAGCCCTGGTCTCTGAAGTTCTTGGGGAGTCACATACGCATCTGATTCAATACTCTGCTTCCCGGCTGACAGGAGCTGAATGCACAGGGCAGGCAGAAGCACAGAATGTGCAGCCACAAGGCTGAACTCAGCCAGAAAAGCACTTCTTTCGTTTGGACTGGTCTCCAACACCTACCGATTTCCCGCAGCCAGGCACTCCTGTTCCCCTCTCAGTCTCACTATACCCGAAAAAGACCTGTTATTCCCAGAGAACCAAAACATTACTGATTTAATCCGAGGCTGTACAGATCAGTAAACAAACCATTTTGGGTTGCATTTTATAATACAATGCCTGTAATTACGCTGTAATTACATAACAATTACACTGTGTTTAGGCATGACATCGCCTGTATTTACCAATAATCCATGTAACCACAAAGTTCACTGCACATCTGACAATAACTACAGTGTAGATACAATGTAGTTAATATCCCTTGTTTCTAATATTATCTATGTGTAGTTTGGTAGTGCACAGGGACCAGGAACGAAGCCCCCATTGTACAAAGCAGAAGACAGTTCCTGCCTCAAAGTGCTCACTATCTAAACAGGCAACACCTGCAAAGAGTAGGGGAACGGGATAGAAGATACAAGCAGAGTGAACAACGTGATGGTCTGCAAATGTTGTGTTAGTTCCTTGACTTTCAGTGGTGCAGGAATTGTTTGTTTCCTTCTTAATTCTTTGGGTGGGGATTTGTTAAAATGGGATTAGGGAGACAGAGAAAAGGAAAGGAGGGGCACTCCAAGGGCTGGGCTGGGGGGCTCTAGGAAGGGAGGAAGCAGCGGAGCGTGGAAGGCAGATGGAGTGAAGCTGAGGTGAAGAGAGAGTGAGGGAGAGGGTAGAAGAGTGTTGGAGCAAACAGTCAATCAACACAGGACAAGTATATTTCTTATAGGTGGCACAGGTAGCAATGCATGTGCTTAAGGTTGCCTGACACTTTGCATTAGAAGACCCTGTTTTCAGTTGTGTATATCTTTTGACAAACTCCAGCTTCTCGGGCTGCAATGTTCCAGGCTGGCTTTCTGCTCAAAGCTGACTTTATTAGGACAATTCAGCAAAAACAGTTCAGCGGTTGAATGGCTAGGCAACCTTAATTGTGCCATTTCCTAGCTTGCTTGACTTTGCTACTTTAATGTGCTTCTAATGAAGGGCTTATTTTTAATGTAATTGAGAATAACATCAGAAGAATAAGTAATTCAGTCACGTAGTGAACTTTCAGGTTATTTGAAAAGGTGGTGATTACCTGCTGAAAAGCAAAACCAGTCCGATTAGGTTGTCCTTTCAGGGTAATTACAATCATGGTATTATAAACCTGACCCACACTGTGTTAGGAAACAGGTACAAATGAAAGACAGTCCAGGAACTAATGGTTAAAAAGATTGCGCCACTTTACTCATGCCATTTATTCCATCTTCAACTTCCTCTCCCTGACATGAGCCAACAGTAGTTTAGGAACAATAATGGCTCCTGTAGCTGTTCATTACCACTCGAATGCTTTGGGGTTATTTTTGGAGGTGGAAGGATTATTACAGGGAAATTATAATGCTTCCTTGGGTGTGAGGAAGAGTCCATTGATGGACACCTTCTTCCTGAGATTTGCACCACATCTGCACTAAAATGCAACAGATTGCTGCCATCTTCCTTTTTTTTTTATGATATGGAGGCGCATTCTTCAGAAGATATGGGATAGGTCATGTATGCCTGCACCCTGGGTAAATCTTGATCCAAGCAGCCTGGGTTCTTTGCATGCTGGGATTTGTTCTTCTTGGACAGCACCTCCTGGTTAAAGTCAAGGGAAGCTGCAGATTACATTATAGAGCCTGGTGGGTCTTTAAGAACATAAGAGTGGCCATACTGGGTCAGACGAAAGATCCATCTAGCCCAGTATCCTGTCTTCTGACAGTGGCCAGTGCCAGGTGCCCCAGAGGGAATGAACAGAACAGGTAACCACCGAGTGATCCATCTCCTGTCACCCATTCCCAGCATCTGGCAAACAGAGGCTAGAAACACTATTTACACTTATTTACTTTCTCCTTTTCTCACCACTGCATAAAAGACAGGGGTACTTTTCTTTTTCCCCCCTGAGAAGATGCTGAGACTACCAAAAGATAATCAGTTGCATGTGTTTCTCGCACTTTCATCTTCCCTCTGGCCAACTGTCGGTTTTATTTGTGGCTTTTTATTTTTTATTTTAATTCTTCATCTCTATTCTCCTGAGAGGAGCTGTGCAGCCTGACGGACTTCCTCCAAATGCTGAGGAGGCTACTGCAAAACAAGAAAGCAGGAGCCCAATCCAGCCCAATTGGATGAAAACAAGCAGCAAAGAAAAATCACTTGCAAACTGCCTGCGCCGTAGCTGCTGAGTTGCATAAGAAGTTGGACGGACACTCACTGTTTCCTTTGGACACCGGCAAGGAAGTTGCAGCAACAGAAGCCACCAGACCAACAGCTGAATGAACAGGGGCTTTCATATCATGAAGCTCACTAGGCAACAGCAGGGAAACTAAGGAGAAGGGGATTTTGAGTCACAAGGTAAGTTAAATGGATCTACATAGATGGCAAAACAATATTGATCTGGAGTCAGAACTGTTCCCAACCAGCGGCTGCAGGTTGTTCTCCTGAGTCACTAGGAAGGGGTGGCTTGGCTACTTCGCTTCACTTTCTGCTTGCTGCCCCATGCAAAATAAGTGAAAGGAAGAGCCTGGGCTTTCCAGAATGTCATTGAACTGGCTCTGATTTGTTCCCACTTAACGCTCATTGTTTCATTAGTCACCACAGACATTGAGGCATGAATGTATTTTGTACGATTGTCTGGTTTGGGGTAAGTGGTGGAATAGTCACCGTGACCCTGTTGTATAGAACCTGGGCCCCTGCTCTGCGGTGCTAGCCATTATTTCTGAAAGCCTCCTGAGCTGTGGTGACCTTCAGCTGTGCTAGTCTGCAGATCAACTCTCTGCTAGAACCGATGTGATGGAGGAGAGAAGGGAGAGACAGGCCTGGAAACAATAGCCACAACTATGAATTCGGTTTCTCCAGTTGGCCTGAGACTCACAACAGTTTTGATTGTGCCTTTTTTTTTTTTTCATAGCCTCAGGCAGGAATCAATGGTGGTGCCAGAGTGGCTCAGGGGAGAGAGATATAGTAATCAGTTATTAATTGTTATTATTCTGATTATTTGTTAGTCACGGTAGTGCAGGTTGCATGGATTGAAGGAGAGAACCGACGGTCATATGGGACTCAGCATCCGCTCTCAGCTGTTTCACAGGTAGCATGAGTGTGGCGATTTGAAACGGGGTATTTGTGCCGTTCTGCTGCGACACGTCCGTCTGTGCTGTGAAAACATTTTAGTTGCTGAAAAAAGCAAACAAACCCTCCAAACAATTTCAGCCTTTAGTTGAAACCAAGAAAGTCCAAAGATCAGCTGGTGAGTCACCGAGACAAACTATATTTCCACCAGCAGAGCGCAAAGGAGCATGAGACATAGGCAGTTAATTTGCTTCGTCTGGGCAATTGCCCTGCATATTATTTAGCTGTAACTTGTCTCCTCTCGCCACAAAGCAGGGCTGAATCATTGTCTGGACATGCTGCGAAAATGGGATTTCTTTCAAGGGCCCGCCTAGTAAAAAAACATGGCCATTTCCAATCCATTGCAATCATGTTCCTGGCAAGGAGCGACTTGGGATGCACACGCCAAATCCTGCTCAGGGAAAAGGTGAACTAGAAAGGGATTTTTATTTCTTCAGTAAGTAAAAGTAACTGTTTACCATCCCAAATGATTCGTGAACCAAAGGGCAATTGACACCTGGTTTAAAACCAGGTGCTACTCCCTAAATCACAGTCTGCTTACACTGGATCTGAATTAGTGATATAAATATAGTAACAGAATAATTCTATCCCTGTTTATTAGGAATTGGATTAAAAACTTGTTGAGCTGCGAAGTTTGGATCCAGCCGTTTGTGTAGCCCGTTTAAAAGGCGGGTCCAGCCAGCCAGTGAGTTTGGGTCTAATCCGAGCTTCTGCGGTGTTAAGATCTAGATCAAAACAAGCCCAGCTTTTGGGGTGCACAATTCTAGGGGTTTGCTTCAGGCCCATAGAAGCTCTTTGTGTGTGTATCTGCGTGTATTCATACAAAGCAAGGAAGCGATAAGCAGCAGCATTAAAAGGATTTCAACCAATTTAGATTCTGCTCGCAATGCTCTGGAATCCTCTTCAGATTAATCCCAAAATGTTTTGAAAACAGCGTAAACAGAGGAAGTTCCCAGTGGGTCATCTACACAAGGCTGTGAATAACATAGGTATTTTAAACCACATTGCCTTTTTGACTCTAACTTTTCCTCTTCATGAATCTGCAAGTCAATTCATGGCTGCAAGAATGTTAATTACGACTCAGTGTGTGCGGAGGAACTAATGCTATGGTTTCAAAGAATGGTTGCCCACCCATTTCACCGTGAGCCATTGTAGGAAGAAGAAATTGCTGAGCTGTTTGGACTTGTAGACCTCACAGTGCTAACTGCTCTGGAGAGTGGCAAGGCCTTTGCATAATAAATCATCCAAGAAGAAACTTTAGCTCCTCCAGCAAAATCAAATAACTTCCAAGAGAGAGTCTAGTGTTCACAGTATAACAGCCTTAAAGTTCTTTGCTTCCAGCCATTTCCACCACCAGGAGCGGGGAACCTGTTAGCCAACATTGAGGACTTCCCAGAAGACAGAAGGTAAAAAAGGTAAAGCAGAAGGAACGTTTCTGCTACTAGAAGGGGGCTCCATCCTCGGATCAATTCAAAAGCCTGCAGTACAACAAATTGCTGTGTCTTTTCCAGCTATACCATACAAGAGGGATCTTTACCTTAAATCAGCTACTGGGTTTTAGTTGAGGATGTTTATCCTCAGTGAATTGGGCAGTGGCTTAAGCTGCTCTCTAAGTTAAAGGAAAGGTAATCTTAGAACTGCTTTTTTAAGTGACCAGGACAAATCCTAGGAATAAAGAGAAAGGATTATACTAGCAGAAATTTAAACAGACATCCTGTGACTCAAGAATAGATCTACCTACTTACCTGGCCTTCGTCAAACTCCTCCCAGTTATGAATGAATTTTATCCTCACAACACCTGTGTGAGCAAATAAAATATTATCCCAACTTTACAGATGGAAAATTGAGGCACATGATAGATTAAGTGCTGGCCACGGTCACACAAAGTCTGTGCCAAAGCCAGGAATTTAATCCCCGTCTCCAGAATACCGTGCCCCCACCCACAAGGCATATTGCCTCTTGTATAAACTAAAGAGATTCCCTTTCCCCAGGCTGACTTGCCTTCAGCTTGTAGAGAAACCAAACTGAATGGTCAGACTGGAGGAGTGAGAGTTGTTCATTTGGATATTAACCCCCCTTTCCTTGCATGTCATTCACTTTATTTTTATTATTTTTTAAATCTATGTTCAGACAGACTCTAGCACCATATGTGTGACCCTCCCCTCTAGAATCAAAAGAAACAGCCAGTGTTCATTAAAGCCGACCCAGCTGCATAAACACATTCAGTGTTTGCCTTTGTTATTTGATGAGTTACACCACCTCATCCAGAGAGGAATCTGGATGTCTGCTGTCATTAAATAATTATTGTCTGATGCCCTCCCTCTAATTTCCCACAACGATGAAAATTTAAATAGATTAAAAATAAAAATGCTTAAAACCCATAATTTTAGACAAGGGTGAACATTTAAATGGATAGAAATAAAAATAATCTTTAAAAATAAACATTGATATCTGTCAAAATCAGAAAAGAAAATTAAAATCAAACTCTGCCATGGCTCTTGATACTACACCTGCTTTGCCACTGATGTAAGGGAGCTCAGTAATAAAGGTTCAGATTGCAGGCTCTGTTTGCAAATGCGCACCAAAGTTTGGACACTTACGTTTTTCAGAATCTGTTGACTTTGCTACAGGGGAGACAGACTTTCATGAGACTGTAGTGCTTCCTGCTCTGGTCTGGGCAGAAATACCTTAGGAACAGCTTCTTATGTTATTTTGACATTGTCATTCTAGTCAGAAATGCAGAGCAGGAGAGGAAAATGACCCAAAAAAAGCAAACCAGGCTTTTTCGAGCCTTGCAAAAGATTTGCTTTGAGTCAAGCAGACTAGGGTCCTTATTGTATTTAAATCGGCTCCTACAGTACATCTAATCAGATTTTATAACAAAGCCAACACAGACACATTTAGCATGTCCATACAGAGCCTGATCCTAAGCCCACTGAAGTTATTTGGAGTCTTCCATCAGGCTCAGATCCATAGTGCTCTCACAGGCAGCAAAACTCCACTTTCCGGTTATTTTTTTATTGGTTTACCAAGACTGTAACAAAAAGGAATCAAAACAGAAGCCCAAGGGTGATAGTTGAATCATTTCATGGCTTGTAAATTTCCACTTTAATTGCTAAAGATTTTAAAGCTATCCCCTTTTAACATCCAAAGAAGTTCCATTCTGCCGATTGTGGGAGAAAATTTCAGTGTTTGTTTTGTTTTAATTTCCACCAGAAATTGAGCATGTTAATGCTGAACTTCCTGGATTCAGAGCAGGGCATCTGGCACTGTTATGGGGACAGCAAGAGGTTTTTCTTCTGTCACTGAAATTGCCTAGTTGGAATCAGATTAGCTGAGAAGAAGCATCTCCTTAAAGTAGCAAAAGCTCGTTAATGAAAACCTTGACAGATTAATGAGGAATTATCAGCACCATCGCATACACAGTTTGGTCTACTATCAGGGAACATGGATCTCACGTGTGGAAGGAATTCAAGATGGGCAAACCTCAAAAGGTTTAGAAGTTGAGTGCTCTGTGGACCAACTCCCAAAAATTCAGATGCTTTTCCAGAGTTTATTTAAACCGGCGACATCTGCAAAATTGGGCTAGAAATATGAATTGGTCCCAAACCTAAAAGCCAGGATCCAAACACTTTTGAAGCTTGGGAAAGTTCACATTCAGACCCAAACCTTCTGATCTGGGCTCCCTGAAATGTGGGAAAGTTCAGTTCTAGATGTAAATGTTGTGGGTTGGTTCCCTCTCTCCAAGAAGTCTCCCAAATACCCTTTTTTCTTTGGTTGTTTTTGTTTTGCTGTATTTCTGCTCCTTTGTTTTAGGGCCCTTGAAGATGCAGCAAAAATGAAGGAAAGATATCATTTGGTAGGAAGGTTGTAACCCCCTGAACTGTATTTTGGAAAAGTCCTCCTTTGTCTTTGAGCCTCCTCCTATCGCACGTAGAGGCTAAGAATACCAGACAAATAATAACATTTTCCTTTTAATTCAGTGATAGGTGTTAATAACATGATGACTGTGTATGATCCCATGTCTGGGCTTTCTACTCAGTGGGACAACAGACATTTGGGGATTCTTATTTTCATAGCAGGGAAACATTTTTCACAGCATACTGATTTATACTTCTATTTCTGACCTGCTGCTTCGAAAATGAATCTCTCTCAAGAGGCACCATGAAGGGTGATCAAATAAGAAAGAGATCAGCTTTGCAGTCTCCGGGCATTCGGTGTTGAGCTAATATATCATTTTAGACACAAGCAAGCACGTCGGATCAGTATCAGAAAGTAGGACAAACATTCCTCTGGTGCAGGATTTTGATTTATTTTCTGAAGACGCACAGACTGCCAGATCTTTATTGTAAGTGAAGGTGATAACAATCAGAGTTCGCTGTTCAGAAGAAGATACACCTGTCTTGTTGAGAGAAAACAGGTTATCACCTATCCCAATAACTGTCTTTAATAAGAAAAAACACACAACCCTCCCCACATCTATTTCCTTCCTGGCTGTTATGGTTTTGGCTCTCTCCCCCTTTTTACATTTTTCTTTTCTTGTATTGTACCTTCTTGCCTCTTTCTCCAGGTATCTGATGGGTTTTTCCATCCAATCTCTAGCCTTACTTTTCTTCTCTTATTTTTCCCCTCTGAATTACATTGCTTCCCTGTAACTCGGTGCTTGGTCTCTCTTTATTCATGCATTCTGCTTTCTAGATTTCTCTTTTTCCTTTAGTTGCTGTGTGTCTTTATACCAAATGGCTTTCAAACTTTCAAATTCTCTACTGTGGCTTTATTTAGTTGGTTTATTCCTCTCCCTCCATTTGCCTTTTTCCCCCAGCTCTCTATTTTGCATCTCCTCTCCTCTCTACTCGTATCAGTCTATAACCACATGCATGCTCAGACACCCCGGTGGCCTCATCTAACTACACACGGCTCACACATCATTCAAATACACAGGTTTCTACCATTTGGATCTAAATCAGGTCTAAAAATTCCATCCAGAAGAGGGCAGTGGTATACACACACCAAGACACAGTAGAAAGCCTTGGTGAGGCCCAAACTCCATAGGTCTGAAAGAAAATGTATTTCCTGGATTCCATAGACTCAGGGGCGACTCCAGGCACCAGCGCAGCAAGCGCGTGCCAGGGGCGGCCTGCCAGTCACTGTGAGGGCAGCAGTCAGGCGCCCTTCGGTGGCGTGCCTGCAGGAGGTCCGCCGGTCCCGCAGTTTCGGCGGCAATTCGGCGGCTGGTACGCCGAAGCCATGGGACCGGCAGATCACCCACAGAAACACCGCCGAAGCCGCGTGACCGCGGACCGCCCGCAGGCATGCCGCCGAAGGCCGCCTGACTGCCGTGCTTGGGGCGGCAAAAAACATAGAGCCGCCCTTGCATAGACTCAGATTTTTAGGCCAAAAGGGACCACTGTGATCATGTAATCTGACCTCCTATATATAACGCAGGCTTTAGGACTCCCCTCAATTAATTCCTGTCTGAACTAGAGTAGATCTTCAAAAAAAACATCCAATCTTGATTGAAATATTGTCAGTGATGTTGGGATATGCTTCATGAGAATGCAAGAGCCATCAGGGGAATTTTTTCTTCAGCTTAGATCTAAGAGGTTCAGTCTATGGATGGATTATTTTCTCAATTGACAGTGTTTTTTATAGCAAAAGGAAATTCCTGGCAAATGCTCGCATTTTTACCCTTCGGGGATCATGGAAGAAAACATGGACTTTGTTGATTTCCCCAGTGGTGTCACAACGTGCATAGAGCCAGAACACTGCTCTTTTTCTGAGACTTTAAAAAAAAAAAAGTCATTGAGTGGATGAGTTCTATCATTTTTTTAATAGCCAAAAACCCACACTTCCTAATCCTGTTAGTTATAACCACCATTCTTCTGCCTAATGAGGACAGTGTATTTTAATCACTAGAGTTAATGTCTCCACGTTTATGAATTTTCCATCTCTGGCCACATTAGAAATATTTTTCTTAATGAATACTCTGATTGTCCTCAAGTAAGGTATTAAAAGCAGGTGTAAAGCAATTATGTCTCCTAAACTCAATACTTTGAGATTGAAATGACAGTGTCCTATAATATATCTCAAAAGGTTACTGACTAGAAGGCCAAGACCCTGAGAAGAGCTAAATACCTTCAACTTTCGCTGAAATTAAGTTGGCGCTGAATAATTTGTAGGTAGAGTGAAGCTAATACAGAACTTTATATTGTTGAGCAAATACAGTAGTGCAGTAAACAATAGGTCAGGCCGTAAGTGAGCCTAGAAACTTGTTGCCCATAAACAAAATGTCCCCTGTGAGCCATACACCATTTAAGCATGATATACTTCATCCAATGGGTCACCTCTCTGGGGCCTGATTCCCATGTACACTAAGACCCCTTTACAATATTCAGCCGGTGTCAAGGGTCCTTCAAGTGTGTGGCACCCTAAATCACACCCACTTTTGTGCTGCCAGAGTGGTGTCAAGGGTCATTAGTGCAAATCAGAACCCTGTTCTATAAGACTGATACCTAAAACCAGATCTCTGTTACACTGTGAATGAAAAAATCTTTTAAAATTATTCAGATTTTGGTTCAGGACCGTTGATCGCTCTCAAATGAATGGGTAGTTTTTTCCATGCTAATGACTAGAATTAGTTTAGCATGTTAATAAGCATTCCTCGAGTCTCATCGTGAGTTAGACAGAACAGAACAACAACCGAATAATAAGGGTGTGTGGGTTCTGATTCTTTCTGGATGATAAATTTTAAAAAAACACCAGAGGAAAATGTCTCCTAGAAAGTGCCAGGACAGCCCTCCTGAAAATCTGTTCCATATTCTCTGCATGAATCCATTCTCCAGCTGGAGAAGGCATAATGCTTCCCAGCTCCGAAGAACCAATCGGGCTTACCATGGTTTGAAATCTACTGTGGACAGGATCTTTGTGCAAATCATGTATTTCCCATAGCTGGGGCATCTGTCCATCACTTCTCCCACCTTCCCCTGATAGTCTAGTAGGGATTGTTGAGAAACTAAAGCCTTCATGAAATGCCTAATCCTAAGTCTGTTGAAGTAAATGAGAGTCTTTTCTTGGATTTCAATGGACTTTGAGATTGAGGCGAAGGGGCATAATTTTTGCAAGAAACAACTTGTAATTTCCCTGAAGTCAATGGAGACTGTGATTTTTGCCAATAAGGTGATGTTTCTGCTTCCATTCTTGGTAAGAAGACTGACAACTGTATGCTAGAAGGTCTCCTCCTATCCATCGTCTACTATATTTCCCTTCACTCTTCATTTGCAATTCAGGATTTTGGAGCTTGCCAATACAGTACAAAAATCAATATTAAAATTTAAGAACCACTGTTTGTGCAAAGCAACAGTCACTTATGGCTGCATTCATTGGGGCTGTTTGGCTTTCCAGTATACATATTCAGCAATGCAAATGTAAAACCTACACAGAATTCTGCAGGAAGCAACAAACCGATATAGTCATAAAAGCATAGTCTGCCTTACAGTGGTTAACTAACAGGCTGAAAGGAAGGTTATCTGGAGCAAAAAGTGATTTTTTTCCTCCCCCCAGTTGAAGGTTTTTCTGAAATCGCAGTTTCTTTCTCTCTCTCTTTCTTTTGGAGAGTTATGTTTGTTACATATGAATTTGCATTTTTTAAGAATTGCAATAATTAGAGATTGTAATAGTAAATAACACCAATAATTAATTAATTAATTAATTAATATCTAGTAATATTTTGTGCTTTCCATCCAAAGCCTTTGGCAAACATTGGTTCGACAATGGTTACACAGTAGGTGTGCTGTACTTGCTACACTAATAATCATCTCTTTGTTAGGTCATGATCCCTCCAGTCTTTATGTTGTATCCATCTGTTGTCTCTTCAGATATACTTAGTTTGTAAACTCAAAGGTAGGTACTATCTCTTTGTTGTGGGTATACATCGCCTAGTGGAATGGGTCCCTCATCCCTAAGTGCTACACCAGTATAACATAATAAAGAAGGGAACCCTAAGGTAAGTGAATACGTAGCCAATGGTTGCTCTGGCTTAAATCACCACATTAATCATTCCTATTACTCTCCTGCTCCAGCCGGCTCAGCTGAAGATGAGTTCTGTGCTTCTGATGCTCTTGGTATCCACTGTGAATGCCGGCACCTTACTAGAAAAGGGCTCGCTGAGACGGGAAGCCCGGCGGCTTTCATGCGTGCGATGTTGTGGGCCTTCAGAAGAGCTAGTCTCCGTCGCCTCTTCACGATCCACTAGGATGAGCTATGACCCCACCTATTCAGTGCCCAAAGTCCAGCCCACAATAGATATCACCATCCTGAAAGGTGAGTCAAGCCCAGGACCACACTTTGTGAATTTACTATCACTTCACAAGCCATGTTCCTCCTCCAAGGTGAAAAACACCCATTTCTTAAGAACCGAAGCTGCTCAGTCTATATAGTTTATCCAAGAGAAGGTCAGGAGGCAACTTGGTTACAGTCCATAACTACCTATATGTGGAAAAGATGTCTGAGAGTAGACAGCTTAGTAATCTATCGGGAGATGGCTGGATGAGCTCCAATGGCAGGAAGCTAAAGCTAAACAAATTCCGGGTAGAAATAAGGCGCATATTTTTAACACCAAGGGTGATTACCATTGGAACAACATATCTATGGACATGGTAGACTCTCCATCAAAATTGAATAACTTTCTAAAAGGTATGGTGTAGCTCAAACAGAAGTTATGGGGTTGATACAGGAATGATTGGCTGAGTTTCTATGTTATGCAGGTCAGATTAGATGGTAATAATGGTCCCTTTTGGCATTAAAACATATGACTCTATTAAACTTGGAGGTTTTGTTCTCTTTCCCATCAACCACACCCATAGTTTCTTCTTCTCTGCCACAGAAAGACTGTGTGTGTAACTGTATATAGGTAAATGATATGGGTCGGGTTCAGGGCCCTACACTGTTTACACATTGAAGCCAGGATTTCATCCCATGTTTTTATCCCTTTGTTCCTGCCATCCTCTCTCTTACACACCCTAGGTGGCTGGTCACCTAAATCATAAAACACTCAGCTAAGGGGTGAAAATTCAGTTTCTGCAAATATTTGTACAAAAAGAAAACAAAAAATCATGTTGCTCCCATGAATGAAAAGACGTATGGACATACTAAAAACAAATTTTACGTAGTGGTTACCAAAGGTTCCATGAATAATTGTTCTCACTATCCATCCTATTAACATAGATTATAGCTCAATTAATGAAAAAATTAGGACTCTAGCCTTCTCTCCCTGGCAAAATGTCCATGTGCTCTTGAATTTTATATCAGAGGGGTAGCCGTGTTAGTCTGGATCTGTAAAAAGCGACAAAGAGTCCTGTGGCACCTTATAGACTAACAGACGTATTGGAGCATAAGCTTTCGTGGGTGAATACTCACTTCGTCAGATGCATGTATCAGACGAAGTGAGTATTCACCCATAAAAGCTTATGCTCCAATACGTCTGTTAGTCTATAAGGTGCCACAGGACTCTTTGTTGCTTTTTGAATTTTATAGTTTAATCCTTCCAATAATCTGGTCACAAATAATAATGCAAATGTAAAATTGCATACCCTAAATGATCAGAGTGGTCCCTTCTGCTGTTGGAATCTATGAATCTATAACGTATCAGAGAAAGCTATCTTATTTGTTGTGCAGTCAATATATGGAATTGGCATGCTAGCTAGCAGCATGCCATTTGTGGGCAGGGGGTTGCTGTCAATAGTGTTCCTGAATTCATATCTAGATGTGATTTAGTTATGACAAATATTTCTCAATGCACCTGTTGAGAAAGTGTTATTTTACCAATTGGGATGCTGCCTGTCTCCATCCAGACCTCTCTGTGGCATGTGGTGTGTGTTCATATGTTTGAAACTTAGTTCCTCTTTGTGATCATAGGTGAAAAAGGTGACGTGGGAGAGAAAGGGATCACCGGCGGGGCTGGAAAGGCTGGAGAACAAGGACTACGTGGTTATAATGGACGGAAAGGTCAGAAAGGCCAGGTTGGCCCACCAGGCCACTCCTGCAAGCTGCATTACGCTGCCTTTTCAGTGGGCCGGAGAAAACCTCTCCATAGCTCGGATTATTTCCAGCATGTCACTTTTGATACGGAGTTGGTGAACCTCTACAAACACTTTAGCATGTTCACAGGGAAATTCTTCTGCTACGTGCCAGGGATCTACTTCTTCAACCTTAATGTCCACACCTGGAACTTCAAAGAGACCTACCTGCACGTAATGAAGAACAACAAGGAAGTCGCCATCCTCTATGCCCAGCCCAGCGATCGGAGCATCATGCAAAGCCAGAGTCTCATGCTCGAGCTGCAGGAAGGGGATGAGGTCTGGGTGAGAATGTTTAAACGAGAGAGGGAAAATGGCATCTATAGTGAGGAGTCTGATATTTACATCACCTTCAATGGCCATTTAATTAAACCAGCCATAGAGTAGCCAATTCTGCATCTTTGGGCTCGGTGCTTTAGTAGAGCTCCTTGGGTAGATTACTAATTCCCCTCTTTAAAAGCGCACATGTCTATGTCAACATGGAAATAAATATGCAGTAAATATTTTCATGGTCTGATTGTGGCTAGCAGCCAGCTGGTCTGCTTTTCAGCTTGCTAATCCTCCCAATCAATTAGAGATATTTCTCATGCAACAATCCTAATGTGCAGAGCAGGGGTGTGAGTATGCGTGGGAGGGGAATGGGCACTGCTAGCAAAACGAACAAAAGTTACATGGCAGTGCCAACTTTATGAATGCATAGAAGGCCTGAGCTCTGTCTGACCCATGAGATGCTGTGCTTATCGTTAGCTAGATGGGAAAACAGAAGGACACTGTTCTGAAGTCTTCCATAGGCCCCTTGTAATGTCTCTGCTGAACAGCTTGCCAAAGTCATTCAGTACATAACCTCGGTTACAAAAAAATTGTAACCTATCAGCTCTGTTTTAGTGGACTGGCCTAATCATTTTTGTACTCTGTAATTATCTGAAGATCGTATTAGACAAGCTAGCTAATGGTTACAATGAAAGTAAAATGTTTGCAGGTTGCTTTGCCTACAAAGGATGTCTTTGTTGTTGTTTACGATTGCTGTCTGCAGTTCCTGTCCTCCAGTTCCATGCTAGAACCATCCCTGGCACTCCCCTGAAATCACTGTCACCAAAAATGACCGTTTCCTAGATAAAACTCAGAACCAGTACTCCATCCTCCTCCTCTTTGACCAGTCAGCTGCCCTTGACATAATCAGCCAGGCTCTTCCTCTTGAAATCTTGTCCTCCCTTGGCTTCCACGACGCAGTCCTCTCCCGGGTCTTCTCCAGCTTCTAATCACTCCTTCAGCATGTCCTTCAAAAATCTCCCTCATCCCCTCCTCTCAGTTTCTCTGAGGGTTCCACAGGGCTCTGTCCTTGGTCCCCTTCTCTTCTCCCTCTACATCTTATCTCTGGGTCATCTCATCCACAAACACAAATTCAGTTCTCTGCGTGGACGACCAGCAGATCAACATCTACTCCAGACCTGTCTCCTGTCCAAACGAAAATCTTGGCCTGTCTCTCTGACCTCTCATGGATGTCTAGTTGTCAGCCCAAGTGCAAAGTCGCTACAACAGAACTCTTAATCTTCCTCCCCGCACTCCGAGCCTGCCCCAGTAAGCCATTCCCGCTACCTCCTTTCTTGATCATTGTGGACAACGCCACCATCTTTCCTGTCACTCGGGCCTGTAACCTGGACATCATCTCTGTCTCAGATCTCTCTCTAGCTTCACCTCCAGGCTCTACCTAAACCTTGTGGATTCTTTCTACGTAACATCTCTAAGATCCAGCCTTTCCTATCCATCCACATGCCTATAACTCTCATCCAGACTCTTGTTCTCTGGAAATCTTGAGTCCTGCAACATCCGTCTCTCAGCACTGCTCATATGCATTCAGAATGCTGCTGCAAGGATCATTTTCCTAGTTTGTTGCTCTGACTGTGTCGCTCCTCTCTTTGCAGCTCTCTACTGGCTCCTGCTTCTCTATCACATCAAATATAAGCTACATGGCTTCACTTTCAAAGCCCTTCATGGCCTTGCGCCGCCCTATCTATCATCTGCCATTCAGTATCAAGATGTTGACTCCTCCCTCCCAACCACCCACGATGCCCATCTCCATCACCCACTTGTTGCATTTTCAAACAAGCATCTTCGTGCTCTTTCCAGTGTTGCCCCTCGCGTTTGGTAGGAGCTCCCCGTAAACATCCAAAACCGAACATCTTCCTTCTTCAAAACTCTCCTTTTCCATGATGCTTAGTTCAGAGAAGGGCAACTAAAATGATTAGGGGTTTGGAACAGGTCCCATATGAGGAGAGATTAAAGAGGCTAGGACTTTTCAGCTTGGAAAAGAGGAGACTAAGAGGGGATATGATAGAGGTATATAAAATCATGAGTGGTGTGGAGAAAGTGAATAAGGAAAAGTTATGTACTTGTTCCCATAATATAAGAACTAGGGGCCACCAAATGAAATTAATGGGCAGCAGGTTTAAAACAAATAAAAGGAAGTTCTTCTTCACACAGCGCACAGTCAACCTTGCCTGAGGAGGTTGTGAAGGCTAGGACTATAACAGGGTTTAAAAGAGAACTAGATAAATTCATGGTGGTTAAATCCATTAATGGCTATTAGCCAGGATGGGTAAGGAATGGTGTCCCTAGCCTCTGTTTGTCAGAGGCTGGAGATGGATGGCAGGAGTGAGATCACTTCATCATTGCCTGTTGGTCCACTCCGTCTGGGGCACCTGGCATTGGCCACTGTCAGAAGACAGGATACTGGGCTAAATGGTCTTTTGGTCTGACCCAGTATGGCCGTTCTTATGTTCTTACGTTACCAAGACCGTGGCAATGATAAGGCAACTTGGGTGTATAGACCACAGTCTATCCTGTTGACCGACATAGTCTCCTATCTCTCTGTTTTCATCTGTTGTCTCTTGCCTTGCCCTTAGATCGCAAGCTGTATGGCACACGGACCATCTTTTTGTTCTGTGTTTGTACAGCATCTAGCACAACGGCATCCTGGCCCATGACTGGGGCTTCAAAACACTACAGTGATAGAAATAATAATAATACGTTTTCTAATAAAAAGAAAGGGCCATATTCTGCTCTCCATTATTCCAATCCAGCCCCACCGATTTGGGTGGGGTTGCAGCAGGATTACAGAGCGTTAGTTGGTCCAGTGCATTTACCTTAAAATGACACTAAAACAACAAGGAGTCCAGTGGCACCTTAAAGACTAACAGTTAGTCTTTATGATGCCACCGGACTCCTTGTTGTTTTTGTGGATACAGACTAACACAGCTACCCCCTGATAAAATGATGCTGACCTTCTTTGCTATAATTCATGATTTTTTCCCCTTTTCCTAGAATGTAATATTGCAATGAGCTAAACATAACACGCCAATCCAGCATAGCGCTTAAGAAGGCACATAACTTTTATCCTGTGTGTAGCTCCATTGGGATGAGTATGCTGGAGCAGGGCCGATAAGGATATCGAAGAGCATTACAAGGTGTTATCTTTCCCTTTTTAATGGCAACCGTCATAACGAGAGGCTGATTGTTAGAGTTACTGAGTACCTACCACTCCAGTTGAAGCCAGTGGGAACGGCCAGGGATCAACAATGAAAATTAGTGCACTTTAGTGCACCATAATTTCTAGGCAGTCTAGAAATGATTGTACTGTGCAAAAACCTCCTTTCTGCAGGCTGCAGTGTTAGTTTCTTAATATTCACTGCACACAACAGTGAAATGCTATGTGCTAGAACAAGAAAACAGACCAAATATACATTTGTTAGTCCCTGTCCCCATCCACACACACACACACACATACACACACGCACCCCCGTGGGATGTTTGCCTGGAGGATGCATTAAATTATATTGTACTGTATGTCCTGCTAGGCTAATTGTTGCTTGTTGCTGCACATCCTCTTGTTACCAATCATTTAACCCGAGAATTAACTGCAATAAAGATAGTGTTTTGAACACATTGGATTTGTTTCCCTTGCTTTTCATAGAGCAGAACTAAATGCCATAAACCGAAAATCCAGCCCTGTATTGCCAACTATGATGGTGATGCTGGTGATATGGACACCTAAGTGCTCCAGAAACTAGACCAATTTCATTTCCATAAGGGGTAATCATATGGGCAAACCCTTTGGACGGGAGATGCCAGGAGCACATTTTCACCGTCTTGTTTATGCCCTCTTTGGCCCCCTTGATTGCAGCTGAAAGACTAATCCCAATTTTTAGTGACGTTGCAACACTGGTGATAACTACACTATCCTGGTCTACATTCGAACCAGCACCAAAGAGGAGTTGGGGGGCTTCCATATCCCATTGCCAGCTCTCTATCCCTTTTGGCGTTGTATGCCGAAACAGCCCCGGAAATGAAAATGGGAAGACTCGTAAGCTTCGGAAAGCACAGGAGACAGAGAGTGGGTTTCGTGCCGATTCTCTGTTGACCTGCAACCAGATAAATTGTTCCTTGTAAGTAAACAAAAGTCCCAGTCACCTAAATTGGGCCGTTACGCAATTTAAAAAAGGCTTCTCTAATCAGCAGCTTCCATTAGGGTGGTGATAAAAGCTATAATGGCTCCATTGCTTATTTGCAGCATGCCATTTAGGACTGAAAGCACAAGCAGAGAAACCTGCTTTGAACAGATAAATACACACAGAAAAAACTCCAACTTCGCAATACTTACTAAAGGTATTTTCAGGTTTCCCCAGCTATTTATCACATTTGGGAGAATTTAAAAGCTTTACACCTCCTCTTTGTCTTCTGGTCTACTTCTGAAGGAATCCCATGGGGGTAAATTTTGCAACCATGGCTTGCTGGCTGACAAGCTTCTACTGATGATGTATACGTTATGGTGGACTGAGAGCATGGGAAGGGGTGGACGTTACACAATGAAGCTCAAATTATAACAGAGTTCTTGATTTATTCATTGATTTCACAACAGCTTTTTTCCCCCTCTGTAGTTCAGCATATTTACTGTACTTAAAAAGAAAAAAGAAAAAAAAAAACTAAACCTCTTTTAAAATGTCATAACCCAGCTGGTGTTATTGACAGTACATAATCCAGAACTGAGAAAACATGCCCAGAGATTGCTAATGTTCACCCACCTTGACTTTTCCAAATGCTACTTTCTACCAGGAAATGAACAGAAACGTTTGTAAATCCATAACACCTACGCACACAATAAGAGAGGCTCTGATTATCAGTTTGACAGGGCAATTTCAAAATGTCTGAGTTGCTGATATGACCAATGTTATCCATAGCTAAATCAATGAAGCCACATTGGTTTGAGAGACAGTGTAACTCTTTAAAGGAAAAAAAGAGGTTCCAATTTACGCAATTATTAACAAGCGAACCTGGATGCCTGATCTGAACCTGATTCCATTGTGTAAAAAAAAATAAAAAGTTATACAGGCCCTGTCCTCCAGAGCTTACACTGTAAGTAGATAAGACAGACAAAGGGTAGGAGAAAAAGTATTATCCCCATTTTACAGATAAAGAACCAAGGCACAGAGAGATTAAGTGTCTTGGCTGAGGTTACACAGGAAGTCTGTGGCAGACAATGGAACGGAACTCAGACCTCCTGAGTCCCAGCCCAGCGCTTGAATCAAAAGTCTCTTTCCTTTCCACTGTATACAGTCCCTGGAAGACTGACCACTTTAACATCTATTGTGAATACCTCTTGTCTGACTGTGGAAAGTCCAGGTCTACTGAACATATTCCATTAATCGGGGAGTCTGACGAGGAAGTAAATGTGATTGGCTAAAGTCCAGAAATGTAAACATGTCATCTTGCCCTCTTTAGCCTGTCCAATCGGTTTAGCACTTTAACTCCAACCTCTTCAGCACGCTACCTTCGTCCATGATGCCTCCCAGCTTCATTCCACCAGCGCTACTCAAGCCATCTGGAACACATTTGCACTTCGCTGCATTATCCCTGAGCCTACAGTAAGACTTCCTCCAATCACCTGCTCTATCCTTTCTCTCCTTCCTGACCAGGGGAAAGATTGAGGGGGAAACATTAGCGGTGCCATATCCAACCTCTGCCCACTATCCCAATCTCCATCTCCAACCCCAGAGTACCTGGATATTTCTTCTAAAAATATAAAGGGTGATATAGGGATGATATACATGATTGCATTCCATCATTAGGCACCAGAGTCAACAGCCTATTGTATTGAATAGGGGTAAGTAAGGCTTCTCAGAATTGTCTGCCTGTCTGTAATCGGATACAGGAAGAGACCTTGCAGCTTCACTTCACATACAGGTTTTCTTTGCAACCAAAAGATCTAGAAATTTAAATTTTAGAAAGATGTAAAATTTCTGCTGTACTTATTACTGCCATAATTCAGCCCCATGCCCAAGGCTGAGGGAACACTATTAAGTGGGTTCCAGTATTTCTGAAGCCTAATGATTCCTTTACTCTCCCTGGCGTCACAGCTGGGAAGGGGGATATGGAGTAAAGGCTCTGTGGCGTCAGGGCTGGGAACAGAACACTGGGAAACAGACTCTGCCAGCATGTAGAGATATGGACATGTTTGTTCGGAACTAACTCCAATAAACATTGAATTGCCTGCACTTCGGACTTCTGGTCTTCTGCTTTCTGTCTGCGTGACAAGAGCCAGTGAAGGGAAAGCCCTCTCACAGGTAGTGATTTGTAAGCACTGGGCATGAGCCCTGAGTTTTAAAAGGGCTTTAAAAGAGAAGGTAGCAGAAGCAACAATTGGTGTGTATCTCCTCTGGAACACACATATGCTTATTGGACAAAACCCCATGTAACAGAGGGGATAAAAGTGTTCTAATGGGTGTCCTCATGCTGCCTCTTTGGAGACAGAAATCCCAAATCCACTTCATAGTACAAGGTGGAATTAATGACTTGCTATCATTCACAGGCTGATCAAGGTCTGACTCAACACCACACTGGCTTCCCTAATTCATTTAGAAAACCTGAGATTGCATTAGACCTTTGGGCTGCTAAATGTGTCAACTTATCTTTGAGGGGAGGCTGAAAAGCACAGTGGGAAGCCCTCATGGTGAAATTCCATATACAGAGAAGTAGCATGAAAGCCCCATTTTGTTTAGGTGCATTCCTGTTGTAATCTCAGAGAGAAGCCTACACATAGTGAAGCCCTGTGAAAATAGCTTGTTAGTTAATAGATGTCCCTAGCTGCACCACTAAAGTCTATGCTCAAGCTGTCTTCTGACTTGCAAACTTGACAACCCATTACCCTTTTTTACACACCTGTACTATTGCTTTATGGTTTTGAGTGTTTCCATAGTG